CGGATCCAGCCATTTTTAAAAGGGGGTTCCCAACCCAGGATAAAAGGGGGGGGGGTCCAACTATATGTCCCCATTCAAATGCATTGATCGTCCAAAAAAAGGGGGTTCCAACCCCACCCCCCCACCCCCACCCCCCCCAACCCCCTGGATCCGCCACTGCTACTATCTGGACAAGAACACTTTCAATTCAGTTATGTAAGGTACATTACTAGAACTGAAATTGTTAAAAATTATTCATCTGCAGCATCTGACTTTAGTTAAAATTTGTTGTAAGATTAGTGTTCCTCAGTCTTTAACCATTTGTGCTTGTACAAAAGGAAATTGGATGTATACGGCAACAAAACAACATAGTTGTAATGCTGGATATCTTTTTGCACTCGTTCTTGGAGTGGTCATTGCTTAAAAATAATTATTCCTTTCTTGGTATCTCCCTCTATGAATTTAATGCTAGGTCAGAAAAATTTAGGAATAACTAAATATAAGAGAAATGCATTTATTAACTAATAATGATATTCAGTTAAAAATGTCATTTAAGGAAAATAAAATCAATGCATGAAAAAGAAAGTGTGTGTGGAATTTTCCACATATAAGAGATAAATTATCTAAGAATTTCTGGACACAAAACCCTAACATATGATTATAGTATTCATTGTTGTATCATTGTCGTTCTATAAACCAATTACAACTGTATCTATCTGCCAACAATGTGAGTAAACTGCACTCTTGTCGTCATTACCTCCCTTTGATGTTATTGTTACGTTACTTTTCATTCTTCACATTAATCAAGACACTCGCATCTTAGGTCGAATAACTGTTTGAATAACGATGTAAATCAAATATTTGTTATATTAGTAAGCGGAATCACAATATAACAGCTTATGATTTTGAAATGTTCAGAATTCAAAGGCTCGGTACAGGTTGTTTAGTGCATATATGAGGGTGTGAATGGGGGTTTACTGAACAGAGAATAATGTGTAAAAAGTGCAGAATAAAGGCCAAAATATATAAAGAATCGAGAAAAATCGACCAAAAAATTAAAGAATAGAAAACAATGGAGTGCTAAATTATAAAGAATAGTAATAAATGGTAAAAAAAATATTAAGAATAGAGAAAAATGACCTAAAAAATTAAAAGAATACAGAATTGAAGGACCCCATCCAGACCCTCATATATGATGATTTACTTACAAGGTTTGTTTGAGTGAACCAATGTGTAAATAAAATACTGCTGGAGTCTAATGATAAAGATGAAGTATATTTGAATTTCATAAAAGACGAGGTATACAGAGCGGTTCATCACTTTTCTCAGTCAAGAGTATTTACTTTTTAAAATTATCAGCAGGCTGCAGTACGACAGCAGTACAGAGAGAATTAATGAAGTTACTCTTGTAAACCACCAAGAAGATTGATTTTCAATGATAATAAAGTCATCAAGTCTTATTTATGCACAGTTATTTGAATATTTTTCGATTAAGTGAGTAAGATCCTATCTCAGCAGAAAAAATATATAATCTAAGTGGAATATTTTGTTAAAAGGGTGAGTTTTTTTGTTTGGTTAAAGATGGGGAATTTTTTATCCGAAGCGTATTGATTTCATTTGTTATGATGATAGGGTTTAAGGATGTTTGCTACACTTGTATTTGACTCTTTGTCAGATATTTGGAATCCTCTAGCTTTATGCATGTAGTGCCAATAACAAATTTTGCCCGCTACCCCCTACTTTTCTTTACATAATTTTATTACATATTTTTTAAAAAGTCATCTTTGGAAAATCTTATAAAATCCTTGTTATTTTTTCATAGTTTTTGAAAGAAAAAAGGTGCCGATGTTAAGAGGGAAGCATTTCCCGCCAAATTTTCAATTGCTTATATTTCATAAACAAGGACACTGACCCTATTTTTTTTCCTGCTCTTTAAGTTCCGGTATTTATATACTATCAATTTATAAAAGTCTTTTTAAGAGCTAGTTACATTTTCAGAGTAGCGAACATCCTTATTTCTTAAAAGCTTCACGAATTATATAAGACTTTAAGAAATTCTATCATAACGGAACATAAATTATCTGAAGAAACTGTACATGGTTGAACACAAGTCAAAAGTTCATTTAGAGGTCAAAGACAACGGCTAATTGTAAGAGAAAATTTAGAGAAAACATGATATCCTACAAATTACTTTTTAGCATGTGATTAACTGACGGAGAGCAAGCATAGATCGACACTTTAGTTTAACCTATTTCCAAAAATAAATTGAAAGAATGTATAGAATTAACTATAGGCATTATTTGCAGGCATATGAATTGTACGAGTATAAAAAATGTGACTACAATATGCCAGTTAATTGAGGATATTTTCGTTTTATATATAATCAAAATTATATAACGGTTATGTATCAGTTAATTAAATAGCTCTAAATCAAGTTCTTCTTAAAATAAGTTGTCCATTCTAGAAACGATATCTACTCGTAATTTTACGACAAACTTCCAAAATAAGTTTCCAAAACACATTTCCTTTAAATTCTTTAAAAATGGAAGTAGTGTTTCAAATTCGTTTTTGTCGTATAGTTATGACATTTATTTAAGGGTAGAACTGGTTTGAGGCAGATTACTAGAGAGTGTTTAATTTAAAGTTTCTGCAAGTTCCTCAGTTGATCGAAAGACATATTTAAAGCCTTCTAAATTATATCAAAAAAGCATTCCGAAACAGTACTCCTGACAAATTTTATATATGTATGTTTTACGTTTGCCCTAGTTAAGTCTTCCAAACGAAGTTTGGGAAGACTTATTGGTTTTGCTCAGTTCTTATTATTATTATTATTATTCTTCCCTCTTCCCTCTTCCTGTTCCTCTTCCTCTTCCGCCACTTTTTTAAATGAACTTGTCCGCACCCGTTCTCCAAAACCGCTAGTCAGATTTACTTAAGGTTTCACAATATGTAAGACTAACATGTCTAGTGGTGTAATCAGGGTTTCGTTTGTGCATTGGGGTCTAAAAAGGGGTACTTTGAGGGGCCAAAAGAAGGGAGGGGTTTACTATAGAACCCTACGGGATTTTAATTTTTTGTATTTTCAAATGTTTATAACTTGAAAACCGTTAGTGATAGACACAATCTTTATAATTGAAAATGTTCTACATGATAAAGCACATCAAATAAAATAAAGGGTTAGTCCCCAGGGGTCACCCCCACTCCCTGCCATTTGACAAAGTTCTAATATCTTGTAAGTGGTCAAGATCCCCACCCCTAAACCATATATATTCTGGTTTGTCATGATAAAGCACATTAAATGAAATGAAGGGTAAGTCCCTAGGGGTCAGCCCTACCCCCTGCCATTTGAGAAAGTTCAAATATCTTGTAAATGGTCAAGATCCCCACCCTAAACCATATATATTCTGGTTAGTCATGATACAGCACATCAAATGAAATAAAGTATTAATCCCCAAGGGTCACCCCCACCCCCTGCCATTTGAGAAAGTTCTAAAATCTTGTTTATTGTCAAGATCCCCACCCCTAAACCATATATATTCTGGTTAGTCATGATTCAGCACATTAAATGAAGTAAAGTATTAGTCCCCAGGGGTCAACAACACCCCCTGCCATTTGAGAAAGTTCTAATATCTTGTAAATGGTAGAGATCCCCTCCCCTAAACCATATATTTTCCTATTCGTCATGTCACAAAGATTCGAATTATATATAGGGTCAGTCCCCAGGGGTCCCCCCACCTCCAATGATATTATATCTTGTAAATTGTCGAAATCCCCTTCCCTAAACCATATATATTCCTATTCGTCATGTCAAGAAGATTTGAATGATATATAGGGTCAGTCCAAAGAGATCATCCCCACCCCCTGCCATTTGAGAAAGTTCTAATATCTTGTAAATGGTCGAGATCCCCTACCCTAAACCATATATATTCCTATTCGTCAGGTCAAGAAGATTTGAATGATATATAGGGTCAGTCCCCAGGGATCACCCCCACCCCTGCTATTTGAGAAAGTTGTAATATCTTGTAAATGGTTGAGATCCCCACCCCTAAACCATATATATTCCTGTTCGTCATGTCACAAAGATTTGAATGATGTACAGGGTCAGTCCCCAGGCATTACTTATGCATATAGCTTTACTGGACCAAACCAATTTTCACTGGACTTTGTGATGTCAGGCGACCCTTGGAATGACGAATTATGGGAGCTTCGTTTGGGAGACTTCGTAACACCATCCTGTTACAATCATTTCTTGTTTATGATTAATATAAACACAATTATGGTCAGGTATTGTGCAATGAATGATTCAGGGTTCCATTTTCCCCATTAAAATCGTTAAAAGATATCTCTCAACTAGGAAGGTTTGAAAGCAATGTTATCAATATTAAGTTTTCTTCCAAATTTTAATCTTTGAATATCTTCTGTTGTATTCTTTCTAATGCTTACCTGAAGTTATTATTCTCACAAAAATTTTCAATATTATACATCATAAAAAAAAGCAAGGCGTGTTGCTAAGAAATACAACCAAGTGAATTGGAGATACATCTGGATTGTTCAAGGAAGAGAAAGAAGGGAGATAATCTAGATTGTTTAAAGCAAAGAGAAAAGGGAGATAATCAAGATTGTTCAAGGCAGAGAGAGAAGGGAGATAAATCTAGATTGTTCAAGACAGAGATAAAAGGGAGATAAATCTAGATTGTTCAAGGCAGAGAGAGAACGGAGATAATTTTGATTGTTCAAGGCAAAGAGAAGAAGGGAGATAATCTAGATTGTTCAAGGCAGAGAGAGAAAGGCGATAGATCTAGATTGTGCAAGGCTGAGAGAGAAGGGAGATAAATCTAGATTGTTCAAGGCAGAGAGAGAAGGGAGATGATCTAGATTGTTCAAGGCAGAGAGGGAAGGGAGATAAATCATGATTGTCGAAATCCGAGAGAGAAGGGAGATAATTTAGATTGTTCAAACCAAAGAGAGAAGGGAGATAATCTAGATTTTTCAAGGCAGAGAAAGAAGGGAGATAAATCTAGATTGTTCAAGACAGAGATAGAGGGGAGATAAATCTAAATTGTGCAAGGCAGAGAGAGAAGGGAGATAATCTAAATTGTTCAAGGCAGAGAGAGAAAGGAGATAATATAGATTGTGCAAGGCAGAGAGAGAAGGGAGATAATCTAGATTGTTCAAGGCAGAGAGAGAATGGAGATAGATTGTTAAAGGCAGAGAGAAAAGGGAGATCATCTAGATTGTTAAAGACAGAGAGAGAAAGGAGATAGATCTAGATAATGCAAAGCAGAGAGAAGGGAGATAAATCTAGATTGTTCAAGGCAGAGAGAGAAGGGAGACAATCTAGATTGTTTAAGGCAGAAAGAGAAGGGAGATAATCTAGATTGACCAAGGCAGAGTGAGAGAGTATGAAAATTTACTATAAAAAAATCTTCACTAATTTGAAATATTTCTTAAAATTTCAACGTAAAATGTCACTACTGTAAGAGTGATTTATTCTATTTGGTTAAAAAACTATATTAAGGGTTTTTTTAATTAACTTTTATTTATTTGTTTTATCTTTTTGCAAATTTCATTATTTTTTTTAAACTTCTTGGACCCTTGAAAATATGTTCGCCCTTCATATCAATAACACATAGTTTTATAACTAAGTAATAAATGAACCATTACATAACAAACCTATTTAACTATACCCAACAACTCGTGATAAATCACCGACCCTGCGAGACCCTCATGGGTAGTTAAGGTCGTTAGCCCCCCACCCCCCACCCCCATAGTAGTAGTCGACAGAGAGCATATAATACACATTTGTATATTCCTTTGCGTTGCATGCATTTGTAATGGCAGAATCATTTATTTGATATTCAGCTTTAAATTAAAAATAATGTTTGCTATTAAATAACACATCATTTATATTGAAATACTAGTATCTTAGCTTATATCCTATAATAGCAAAATTAACAATCTCTACTTTCAAACTACTTAAAATAATACATTAATATTGCACCATGCGCTTAAGCATATTAAACATATATTAGACTTGATAATTGAATATAAATTAATACATTGTAAAGATTCAAATAGGTCAATAGCACAAGCACAAATTATTCAATGTACTGACATGTATGATTAATCACTATTTCTGTAGAAAATGTAATATCAACGATTCATGAAATGTTGGTGTGTCTTAGATTAGTGTTTAGTCTATCTGATTGAGATACACATCATGTGACCACACTTCGTTTACAAGGATCTAACATCGCTATGCTCTACTTTCTGTTTTAGAGATTGTTCAGAATCCTCTGGTTTAGTCGTAGTGATACACACCTTCAAATATTTGAAGGCTGAAATTTCATTTGCTGATGTAATAATTACCAGAACAGAAAGTAGAACGGGTTACTGTCAGGTCCTTATGAGCAAAGCGTAGCTACATGATCTGTACTTTAATTAGATTGGTGTTTAGTCACTAATGTTTTGTATATGTATTCTAAATTAGAGAATGTTTACATTGTAGTGTTTTGTTCATAACAGGTGCTTACGGTGCATATCCGTTCGGACAAATAGTTGGTAATGTATTACTGAACTAGCTTGAGGGTGATTTTGCATTTCCATTACCGTTACATATACAAGTCTTCCAAGTCTTAATTATCAATGTGAAAATTAACAAAAACTATTTATCCATGATTTTAACTATACTTTAATTTGTGTATATGAATAACAGAAGATATGGAGTATATATCAATTACAGGGCGACTCATCCACACAAATAACAAAAAACACAACTAAAGAGCAACATTCAATGTTCAACAATAGACAACTGTGTATATAATATATCAATCATTAATCTGCCGCCAGTCTAAAAAATTGTGAATCAACTGTTTTACTTTTCAATAAAAAAAAAGAGTTATGTGTTGGGTGCTACCTTCCGAATTTCCTGAAAAGTGACTATATATTACTTGACTGACTAAGCTTAATTCATTGACAGTACTGAATTTAACGCAACAAACTTACCGAAAATTCTGTACCCTACTTAATAATTTAGATCGCGTTCAGATCAAATTGGTCGTTTCAGAATAAAACTCGTTTACTAGAAGAACAAATAACATTATGACCAAATGAAAGATACCAGAAGACAGCAATAGTCGCATCAAATAAAAATCAAAGATTGAGGCACACGAACAGCAGTTTTTTGTTGTTCTTCTTTGTAGTAGAATAGTTAAATTTGATACATTGTATCTTTTTCTGTTGTTTGATAATTGTTAATTTAACATATATATATATAGACTTGTATTTGTAACGACTTGTTCTGACCTTTTTCTCACTAATGGTAATATGCAGTATTAACTATTCAAAGAGCTATCTGGACCTTTATCATTTTACCCCTTTTATGCTGTTACCTCCGATTATCAGATTGATATCTGGATATCTCACAATTGTACCATCCGTTTTCTGCAATTGTACCCCGTTATCATATAATTGATACAGATTTGCAATTCTCCTTAACATCTTTTTCCATCATTGAAAATTCATAATGCACATACTATAACTCGATCTCTTTTGATTTCTAGCCTATGAAAACATTCTGAGGTTATTTAAGTGTAGTTTATGTCTGATGTCTTATAATAAATCAAATGCAAAATTTATACCAACTTATTTGTATTATATAATTTTAAAATAACTAATTTATGAGACACCTTAATCCAAATGTATATTATTTTACTGGCACATACTGCTGATCATATTTCCTATTAAATATTCAAACGCATTTTAATTTGATGTCGAATATCCCTTAAAATTAATGATTCTGTCAAGGAATATGACAACGTTTGTAGGATTAGGTTAATGGATAAAAACAAGATTTACATTTTTAACAAGTTAAATATTTGTCATAAAGAAATAAATGCTTACAAGGTTTACATATCTTAATTTTCTTTATATTCAACAAATACAAAAGTTAATGCTAGCATAGTTACAAATGCTTTTTCCATAAGAAGAATGCTGACTAGGAAAAGTGCCAGGTATCAAAACTTTTTTTTCCAAATAAAATTGTATGAAAGTTAATACGTATGTGTACTATCCCTAACTTATCAGATTGATATCTGGATATCTCACAATTGAACCAATTTTGAACATAATTTAAAAAACAAAAATGAAAGATTGCTCTTTGAATAGCATATTGTGGGTATTTTTGAATCATTACACATGCGCACTTCATTATTAATACACAGCGCAGGACACGGGGATTTGAGAAAGTATGTTGGCTTAAGCAAGGCTCAATATATATATAGACATTATAACCTAGCAGTCATTTGCATTCCTCGCTAGCTACTATGCATGAAATTGAAAAGAATTCCCATGAGAAGTCCGATTCCAAAATGTTAACGAAAAGTCTAAAGATACTCTAGTGCATCCGTCTAAGGATGTATCTGTCCTCGTTTAGAACTTAATTGGTGTGCGATTTTAAATGTTTTACATTAACTTATCAAAAAGTATAACAAAAATACCGAGCTCCAAGGTAAATTCAAAAAGGAGAAGTCCAAAAAAACGGACAGAATCATACTTTTTGTCAGCAATAAATGTGTGTAACAGCAATATATGAAATACCTACCATGTAAATGGACGGAATCGCCAACGTACGCGCATATTTGCATAACTTCTTAGATAAAATAATTATCCTGTGAAATATTGGTTGGGAATATCAAATCAGAGGCAACAATCGTTTACCATTTTTCAAATGTGTTAAAATAGCCTTAGATTTAAATATTTATCTTGCTTTTGCAAATTTTGTTACAATGTTATCACATGTTTACGATTTGTTTTTATGGTCTGTTGAAATTTGGTTTGCCCGTAGAGGGGATACTTCTTAGTGGCCGAGTGGTCTAAGTAGTCGAACTACTGTATCACTAGCCAGTCAACACTGAGGTTGTGAGTTCGAATTCCGCACGGGGCAGGTGCACTCCAACCCAATATTAATTGACTAGGATTGTAAGTTTTCCTATCGAAGGTCGGTGGTTCTCTCCGGGCACTACGGCTTCCTCCACCAATAAAAACTGACCGCCACGAATAAGCACAATAGTGTTGACAGTGGCGTTAAACACCAATCAATCAATCAAATCTTAGCGGTAAAATCTTTAATAAATTGAATCTGTAACATGGTGAGCGTTGTTTAATCACGATACCGAAACGCATGCTCTTTTACTTTTTATATATGTTTACCTTTGTAACCTGCACGATCTGCTATGGACGTATGATAACAATTTCAGGACGCAAAATAAGTGTCTTGGATAACCTCCTTCATCTTGTACGCCCAAGATCAAACGTTTTAATAAAATACATTTTTCATTGAAATTATAAAAATAGAGGAGGGTTAAAGCAGAACCGACAATGTCGCCAAAGGTAATCATACCTTATTAAGTTTCGACTTCCGGCTTTTAGTACAATTATACAATTTATCCAATTGGTATTGATATAACTCATCTGTGATAGTAATAATATTTATAAGGCATATGCTGTCTCAGCTAGCAACACACTCGAACTTACATGTTTTGCATTGGATATAGATATTATTCTTTTGAGGTTCCCTTTAGTCATAAACACCTCATGTATTGAAGTATTTGTACACCATTGGCTTTCAAACCTTTTTGCATTAAGCGTTCCCGAGTAAGGTAAATCCAGAAAAGCACCAAATTCATAAAGAGTCCTTTTAAAAGAGGCGAAAGATACCAAAGGGACATTCAAACTCATAAATAGAAAAAAAACTGACAACGCCATGGCAGTAAAAAATAAACTAAAATTTAAGCATCTAGCAGCGCCCTTTAAAAAGTAATAACTTCACCCTCCACTTTTTCACAGAGGAGTTATGTCATGTTATCTGTCTATTTTTGTTATATTTACATGGCACAATGTTCAAAATATCATACTTGATATTTTTATAAAAAAATATCAATTTTGTAGAGCCGATTCTTTTAATAATTTGTATTACTTGAGATTTATAGAATGTTCAGACTTCCACTTCAGATCTCACTTCTTTAACATTGTTTAACACACTTCACCCTTATTATACAAGATGGCGCACCAAAACGTCGACACAATTTTGACCTTTTTTGCACTACTCAATGATGTTTGGTTTTAATGCGATCTGATTTACTGGGCAGGAATACGTCGTTCAATTGATTAAGCTTGAAATGAAAACCTGAATGAAAATTTCAATCTCAGCACTTGCTACGTAATTTAATGTCAAATTACAGTAAATAGCTCATGTCACAGATAT